AAAGCAAAGCAAGAAAGCAAGCAAGCATGAAAGCAAGCAAGAAAGCAAGCAAGCAAAGCCTGAAAGCAAGCAAGAAAGCAAGCAAGCCTGAAAGCAAGCAAGAAAGCAAGCAAGCATGAAAGCAAGCAAGAAAGCAAGCAAGCAAAGCCTGAAAGCAAGCAAGAAAGCAAGCAAGCAAAGCATGAAAGCAAGCAAGCATGAAAGCAAGCAAGAAAGCAAGCAAGCAAAGCAAGAAAGCAAAGCAAGAAAGCAAGCAAGCATGAAAGCAAGCAACAAAGAAAGCAAGCAAGCAAGCAAGCAAGCAAGCAAGCAAGCAAGCAAGCTAGCAAGTAAAGCAAACATGCAAATCTGTGAAGGATGCTCCCGTGTCACCCCAGCAAGTCAAAATGTAAGTCATAACCTTTGGCCTACTCAACACAATGTAAGATCTACAAGGGCAGCGGCACTCATTTGCGGCTCATGTGAACGTCTTCCATTCCGTCCTCGGGCTGGCCCCCCTTGGACACGCCCAGGATCGCGCTGTACCTCAGCGAGGATAAAACAACCGATCTGCGGGGTGGTGCTAAGTAAAGCTCACGGGGGAGAAAAAAAAATCCTTTTTGCGTGGGCAGATCGAAAATAAACATCCCTCGAAACCGGTGTCCCTTTAAACAGCCTCGCCAACAGTTTCCCTTAAAGCATACATTCGGGCCGGAACAAACGAGCAGCTTGAATGTTCGCCAATATACAGTAGCCATCTCATCTGGCTGTGTGGGTGATCCCATTGCAGGAACGCCGTTTCTTCTGTTCGATCTGGCCGCCAAAAATACGCTACACTCAGATATGCAAAGAAAGGCAAATAGAAGATGGTTTGGGGGACCAGCATTCAGCTACCGCCTTCATCCCCTCTGGGCCGCGCCAAATGGCATTGGACCTGATCCTTTGGCGGGGGGCGGGGGGGTGGGTCTGTTGTCCGTTTGCCTCTTGGGGGTTCCTCCACATCTTGAGGAAGATTGGCGTCGTGGATGAGCGTAGACACACCCAATACCCACGGTCTTTGGTACAAGAGGAGGTATTTTCCATGGGGTTAGGTCTTGGGCACAAGTGGAAGGTCCCCGAAGCTGCTCTGCCTGGAGATTCAGTGAGTCCATGTCCCGAACCTCCAAATACACCATAAGCACCTGGATATTTGCGGATGCGGATTTCCGGGTCGGCCTGGGTCAGATTGCTGGAAAAAACACCACTCTTGCTTCTTCAAGCTCCTCCCTGGCAAAGGGTTCCCCAAGATTGTCGGCGTGTTGCCACCCCTGGGCTGCGGGCGGATCAGGCGTCGGCGTGGTGGACTCCGGCGACGGGGTCACCAGGGCTGGGCCAGCGGCCGGTTTCGAGATCACGGGAATCGAACTGGAGGGATCCCCGGCTCACACCCAAACCAAGCGCCCTCCCAAAAAAGTGAAGAAAAAAAAATGAAAAAATAAGAAAAAACAAACACTCAAGAGATCCCTTGCGCGGCCAAGTTTGTCAGTGGTTACGTGTCAGTTCAGATTACAACCCACTGCGTTTCGCGTGAGAGGAGGTACACCTCCTGCAAATGCGTTGCAACCCTAGGCTTCACCCCAGCTTCTGTGCAGGGGATGATATCGAGCGCACAAACCTTGAATTTCGAGCAGGGAGTTTGATTCGCCATGGGAAATTGGGATATAATTCCAATGTAATATGGACGCTCGCTCACATACTCCCACACTTCCCCCCCCCTGCCCCAAGATAGCCCAACTGGGTGTGTGTATATAGATACAACATAATGTGATATAACGATATAATATAATATGATACTATAATATAATATCATATAATATAGTATCATATCATATCATATAATACAATGCGAAAATATACAATGCGAAAATATACAATACAACACAATACAATAAAATACAATACACTATGATATGATGTGATATAATATAACATAAAAAAAAATACAATACCATATGATATGATATGATATAATATAATACCATATGATATGATATGATATGATATGATATAATATAATATACTACCATATGATATAATATAATACAATATAATATAGTATCATATAATATCACACAATATAATATAATATAGTTTTAGTATAATACATATATATATATATATACATTTGGAGCGTACCCTTACCCTTTCTCAGACTGTGTAAAGACAAGGCAATATATTTAAATTCACAGCCAACGGGTCACGCCTTCTTTTGTGTGTTGCCGTGTCAGAGGTTCCGTCAAACGATCCAGCAGATTGGTCAATCTGCCAGGGTATAGGGGGGACTCACTACATGTCTGGGGACTTAGTCTTTGAGGGAATGATATGTTCTGCCCAAAGACCTGATATTTGCCCCACGCTATGAGAGTTGAAATGGTATGTCCGACGAAAAGGGCTGTCGCTTTCAAAACCAACTACCCTCAAAAGAAGACAGACCCCGGCTGAGGTACCTGAAATTCTTCAAGACGATTGGCCCAAGGCCAATCCCCAAACCCACCAAACCCAACCCCCAAAACCCCCAGACCCGCAGACCCGCAGACCGTCCAACCGTCCAAACTTCCGCCCGCGCCTGCGGCCTCCAGGGCTCGGTCCACCTCCGCCCAGTACAAAGTGCTCACCTGCCCGTCCTCAGATCCATGCGCCATGCGCTTCTGGGCGCCGGCGAGCGCACGCGCTTGGGCGATCCCATGGCCACGTGCGTCCGAAAGGACATCAACGCAGGAGGAAACTCTACGAGAATCGAAGCAATGGGTTGGATTGCCGCCTGCCGCGGAAAATGCAGTGGTTGGACATGTGTGGGGGAAATTAGGTCAGAAGACATGTATGACATTAGCGCCTTACATATTCTGCGACGTGTCCAAGAGTGGATGGAGATTGTAGAAACGAATCTTCTGGGGCTCAGAGACCATTTGAGATACATCCAAACCTCTCATAATCACCAGTGATCAGCGTCCCACCAATTGGTGGCTTGGATTGGTGGGTTTGGATTTGTGGTTTGGGGGCTTGAACCCCCTCCTTAGCCACCAAACCACCAATCCAAACCAAGCATCAGTGGGGGAAGCTGAGATACTTCAGGAAAATAGCAACTTGGGAGATGGTTGTGCAGCAAGAAACCAAACATTTGTGTTGGGACCATGCATGCACCGATAATGATAACAATAATAAGCCCATATTGGGGGGGGGGAGGGGGTGAGTGGACGGACCCCTTCAAAAAGCGGCTGACTTTTGGACTGAAAGAAGTGGTTGTCAATTGCGGGCAGCCAACGGGTGAAGACGTTCAATTATTAGAACAGCCCGTTGTAAAAGATTTGATGTTCACTTTCTGTTGGGGATTCCCATGCAACATGGACAACTTTGTCACAGGCACAGGTGTCCTTCTTGGAAAATGGATAGACCTGACAAATGATTGAGCCAGGTAAACCAGGGCCTTTGATTTTCTAAGAAAAAAACCACCAAAAAGGGCACAACTTGGTCACAGGGGTTGCCGTCTCAAGCCCGCGGCCTGGCCTCCGTGAAAAGGCCCCCTGCACTGAGAGTTGATCCCAACTGATTTGGTCTGGGGATTTCGGTGTTGCTCCAGGTACTTCCACTTCAATGCTAGAAAAACAAGAAGAAAAAGAAACTCCCGTGTCCTTTCCATTTGATTGAGCCTGGCGAAATCGGAGATACGGTGCATGCCAACTCAATATTGCAAGGCGGGAAACCCGGTTGTTCTGCAATAAAACCACCCTGAACCAGGGCCATCTGTTTCTTGAGCACACTAACCCAAAAGGACACCTATGAGCCTCCGCAGTTCTTGCCGTCTCCGGCTCCCTTTGAGGCGCGGGCCACGAGCCCGCCTGGCAACGAGACAAGCTTCGGGGGTCCGGACGGGTCCCGGGGTGGGTTCTGCGTTTCCCCTTTTAAGGGCGGCGTCAAAAAGCGCCGATTTTTTGGGGGGCAGACAAGAGGTAGGCCATTGGACCTTTGCTTAGCACTGTTTTGGTACTCTCTTAAAAGCCTGGAGGGGTGGATCCACAGAATCTGCATCCAACCGTGTCCCAGAACCCCCCTGCCTCAAAAAAAACATTTGCCATGGAAGGCGGTCTGTTTTGAAGTATCCCCGCCAAAAGCCTTCTTGCTCGTTTGCCAAGGGGGGCAGGTGGTTTCGTTTGCTACGAAACACCTGCTTGGCCTGGTGACTGATCCACACAACCTGTCCCGATCCGAATCCGCAAACCTCCTAAACGTTAATCTTCATAAACCCAAGAAAGACTATGTATCATTCTGGCCAAAGACCGACACAAATACATGAAGATATAAAGTGGCTTAAAGTATTTGACAACTACACCATAATCCATAGAACAAACTCACAATTAACACAATAAAAAGATATAGGCATACATATATGAGTATATGTTTATATCAGAATTCTAACTTGGTTGGACATGTATGATCATTGGACATACGACGTTAAAAAGAAAACAAAACAACAAATGAGAGGTTAAACCGATAGTTTGCCTAAAAGTATTGGATGTTGACTGTTTCTGGAGGCGATATGAGTTAGTTGGCTCCGTTGTAAATGAAACCCACAAGAGTTTTAATTGGTTCCAAATGAATTGGACGAACGATATGCCCATGCAATTGTTGATCTAAAACAAAACATTGTTAATGAGTATTGTATTACCATCCAATCTTCGTCAGCGTGAATATAAAGATATATATATATATACTGTATAGATTAAATGCAAAAATCCACACCCTCCCCCTGTTTCTAGACGCCGTGTTGTAGCGCTCTTGGATGAATATGGGCAGCCTTAGGGCGCCTAAGCAATCTGGTAATGCTTCTCAGAGGAGGAAGTCACGTCCAGATCCTTGCGGATTTGACGTCAGGGAAGGATCTTGCCTGTTGCACGACTTCCAAGACTTACAAAGGACTTGTATCGTGGCTTTCGCCTGGTCCCCCCCCCCCCCCAGCGTGTCCTTTGACGCGGTTTGGCAGAAGAGGTTTGTCCAGAATTGGCTGAACCCAAAGACCCATCTGGCCCACGTCACCTGAGGGCCCCTTTTTGGTAAACCCGCAAGCCAGCCATGAAATCAATCAAGCACCCTGCAGGAAGTTCTTCATTCCTCCAAAATTCTGCAGACAAGTACACCAACCCTCACCTGCTCCAAGACCACTCAAAGCCGATCATACATCCACCCAACACCAACCCTCACCGCCCCAAACCCTTAGCTGACCCTCCAAGCTAAAACTCGAGCCGGTCATCTTTGCAGCCAGCTTTCAAAAGAACAAGTCTTTTCATGGTAAATCCCTCCTTTAGATTCCCTCCACCTTCCCCAAACCAAAGCTCAACTCAACGATGCTCTCATGCGACTCGACTAGCGCAAGGCTCGAAATTCAATTTGGCCAAGGGAAAACAGAAGGGCTCAAGACTCGTGTTCGATCCTTGTTTGGTCATGTTTTAGGGGGCCAAAGAGTCTATAGCTGGCTGCTTGGAGGTCAGCACTTGGTACAGCCAAAGTCGCTGTGGACTAAGGTCCATCCCACAAAAATCTACTCCTCCCAATTCCAAAAACCAAAAGCATCCCATCTGGGCAAGTCTCCAGACCGTCCCTGCAACTGCAACTCGCCGGGCCGGCTGCTGTTGCCGCTCCCAGCGCTAGTGTTGCCGCCGGCACTCGCAGCGCTGCTACTGCCGCTGGCTCCGCTGGCTGCACTGGCTCCGCTGGCTCCGCTGGCTCCGCTGGCTCCGCTGGCTCCGCTGGCATTGGGCGCCTGAAGCGCCTGGCATAGTGGAAACCATCTGAGAGACGACAGACGATCCCTGTCATGACTTCATGGTGTTCTGCTCCTTGTTGAAAGTTAAGCATTTAGGATGATATGTGTCATAAATCCCTTTAAACACAAACAAATCATGTAAAATTGTAAGGTATGGCTGGGATGATTTTTGATACGAGCAGCTGGGAATATTCCCAATAAAACAGAAGGGACCACGAAATCCAATAATCTGATCAAAAGGTTCACCGGAATCACGGAACTGGGAACGGCGTGAGGTGTCCAGCAAAGATGGGCAGGTCGATCCTGAACCTTTGAGTCAAACCCGGAGGGCCGTAGGTGAAGGATATCAACTCTCAAATGTTGGCACCCTGATCAAGAGCTTTATTGAGCTTGCGCTCCCACTTAGGAGGCTACTTCTTCTCTCTGGAACCTGCTCCCCATTTCCAACCTGCAAACGTCCCCACTCGGAGGAGACTCCCAACCAAAATTGCGTCGTCGTCAAAGCCTGGTATCAAACTTAAATATCGATGAAAGAGATCACACAACCTCAAAACAAACGCACGACTAATGTTAATTAATAGGGGGTGTTCCCCTCCACAAGTGGTCTCATTCCCCACATTTCACCCAGGGACGACGCCCTGAAGAAACTGGGGTTGACTAATATGGGGTCGCAAAAACCAGCAAAGACGAGCCTGAGCCAGACCAATGGAGCGACCTTGGCCGATGGCTGGTCACCCCGCTGGATTCTTCACGCGCCGGTTCGAAAGAAGTGGTGTGCAAAGAATAAGAAAAAATCATGCATATCGTGTTCTCCCTCCAAGGTTTGTCAAGGAAGCAACGCCATTCTGACGGGTCCAAATACATCGAAGATCCGCCGGCACCCTTCATGCATGTGAGTCACAAACAATATTCCACCAAACCCCAACTGGATCTAGGAAAACTGGGTTGAAAATTGAAAATTGGTTCCATAGTCATTCTCCCCAACAGTAGACTGCTTGGGTCCAAACAACCCGTGGAAAAGTGGCGCAGACCTTGTCTAGGTGCACCAAGCCATGTGTGCACCATCAGCCGTCATCGCGCCGTCCAAGCACAACCAAGCATCACACTTCAGCCGCCGAGAGAATGTGCCAGGAGCAAATTCCTTGCAAATCCATCGACCTTTGCAGCTTCAAGCAGGGCTCAATTCTTTCTTTGGACAGCAAGCTGGACTCGCTTGAAAGCTCCAGCTTCCCAAAACTCCGCCACTGAAAATTCATCCCAGGTCACCTCAAGTCGCCTCAGCGCCTGAGTCCCCAAACTCCGCAAAGAGGACTGCCTGGCGCCGGCCAAAGGCAGCACCTCGAGGCGAGGGACACGGAAAACGCGGGGCGAGGGACCGAGGTCCCACGGGGGAATCCGCAGAGAATAGCCAGGTGACACGGCTCTGAATTGGATGCCCGTGAAAGATGGGCACGTCTTTCTTGGTTCGTTTTGTAAGGGAAGCCCGTTGAACCAAAAAGGAAAAGGCACCGGAGGTCTGGGCCTATGTGCCGTGTTGGCCTTTGGTTCAGAACCCAAGGAGCCTCTCCCCAAAAGAGACGCACGACAAATCTTAGGGGACCTTCCTTTTTGGGGAAGGGACCCATTGTTCTGGCTCCATGTTGATTCAGGGGAGTAGGACCTTGCGCATGCTTCTCTTGGCAGGCACTTCAATGTTTCCGCTGTCAAAATCACCCTTACAAGAAGCCTGCGATTGGCCCTTTATTCATAAATTACCCACCAAGTTTCCTCAGATGGGGATCTTCTCTTGATCCTGATCTGTTGGGGGGGGGTCAAGCTTGCTCCCAAATTCCACCCGCTGGCTCGGGACGCCGGCGCAGAGGAGAAGAAGAAGTCGAGAGCTTCGCAACTGGCTGAGTCGACTTGAACAAATCCGTGCGCCGCCGTTGGACATACAGGAGCAGACCAAGTGATTGCCAAGTATGCCATGGCAAGAATGCGTTTTCTGAGGCATGAGCCACAGACCTATCTAGGAATGCGCCTTTTTTCCCCAGCTTCCCAAGCCCCGGGACTACGTTTGAGCCAGGTCCTAAAAGTTCCCTGGACGGAAAAGAACAAAAACAGAAGGCCACGGCCGGGTTGACTTTGAACAGCTCAAAAGTCCTGGGGGCTGCGGGAATTGCAAGCGCTTCGGTGATATCATTGGGAAAAATGCGTTCCAAGCAACTGAGTCCCGCGTTCCCGCGACCCTTTTTTCTTTGAAAGCAAACATTCTCAAGGAATCTTAAAACGTGGATCCCAAGTCAACCTGTTGGGGATGGATGCACTGGCTGGAAGTCTGGAAGCTTTTCAGGAGTGTACCTCTGCTTTGTGTACATTTCTAGCCAAGTACTCGAAGGACGTCCTGTCTTTTGAAGGTTGGACCCCAGACCCCCCCCCCCCCCTAAAATGGCTTCGGTTCTCCCAGAAATGGAACACCTCCCTATTCATGGCTTGGATTATTCCGTCGAAACCTCACACGCAAAGGAAGCTCGAAAAGACTGACGACCAAAAGCCCGATCTTACCACCTGAAAAGGAAATGGGTGTCTCTTTCTTGCATATGGTTGTTTCAACTGTAAAAAAGAAAAAGACAAAACAGTCCTGCCTCGGCCCACCGCAGGGCCTCCGCGAACATAGCTTGCTCAAAACGGGAAACCCGAGCAAAGCTTGCTTGTCAGAAGGGAACCATCAGAGATCCTTAAGCATACGTTGATTTACAAGGACGCGGCTCCTCCGTCAGCTGGAACAAACTCTTTGGCCAAGGGGTACCTTTCGGGGGCTCTGAGCGCACGGGAACTCAAAATCCCACCTTTTGGTAGGCTCCATGTCGGGGCTTCCGAACACTTTCGGGGGGGCCAAAGCGGAGTCTGCCAGGAACCCACCATGTGTTTTGTGGATTCTTCAGATGGAAGCCCTGCGTGCTGAACGAAAGAATTCAAAACTCCTGTGTAGGTTCCATGTGAGTTGCCTCTCTTCAAAATGTGGGCTTTCCTGAAGAATCTACAAAACCCAAGGGTTGAGCTCCCCCAAATCGGTCCAATGGTCCAAATCGGTCGAGTATTCCCCCACCAAGAAACATGGACGGACCTCTTTGGAAGCCAACTTTCCTTTCGGAAAGTGCCTGTGAACTTGATTAGGCTAGTCCTCAACTGGGGGTGGTTTCGTCTGGGTTCTTTCAAGCACCCCATTTCTGCCCCATACTCCTACACACCTATTTCTGAGAAAAGTGTGAGAGTCCTGGAGAAGTACAAAGGGCAGCGCCAAGACTCAAACGCCACCCAAAAGCAGTTCAGATCAATTCACCCTTGTGTTGTTCTTGCCAAAAAAAACTATACAACACGGGAAGGACAATGGGAGGGGCAGGAGTCACCGCCTCGGTTTGCAGGTGACTCAGCCATGGCTCCCATTGTTTGATTGCTGGGATGACTTAAACTCAGCTGCCTGCCTTTGGCTACGTCAACCACCCCTGGGTTCAAGTCTGCTTTGGGCTAATCAAAAACCAAATCCTCCCCTTTTGGATGCTTCAAAGAAAACCAAGAGGGAAGCCCACCAATCAGATCCAGGCATTGAGGTGTCCATTACTTTGGATCGTTGATCCCTTAAGCTTTCAGTAAGATAGGTGGACAAATCCCCCCTAAAAGCCAAAAAAATCCAGGGAACCGTCTGGCGCCACCCCCCAGAGTGCCGTCCACGTATCCGACGGCGCCTTGTGTTCGATACCGGCCATCGGCGCGACTACGGGCGTTTGGCCATCGCCCACTGCCTCAGAGACGAAATCCGGAGCCCAAGGAACAATCCAAGTCACTTAAGTGGGCTCCCTTACCGCCCAACTGACCCGTCACTTAGGTGGGTTCCCTTACCCAACTGACCCGACCAATCCAAGTCACTCAGCTGGGTTCCCTTACCGGCGTGACCAAAACTCACCAAGAAACCAGAAATGGCGGCCTCTCAGACTGGGTCCGCGGGCTGAAACCCAGGTTTACTGGCTTCGGCAAAGCTCCCCAGGTGTCAGGCTGCAAAAATATCAACGGGTTTACCAAAAGGACTTCCCAGCATTGAATCTGTCCGTTCGGTTTACATGAGCGGTCAAGATCTGATCGAAACTTCATTGGACTTGGGGCTGGCAACAATTGCAACTGCCGCCCCAGAAAAATCCTCGCAACTGCAAGCACATGTAAAATTCCAGGAATTGCTTGTACGCCTTTCAGGGAAGGAACCAAGATTCAAGCTCCCCCAGATAGCGTGTTGCAATCGGATTAATCAACGTGACATAGATGGATTCCCCCCAAAGTGGAAGATTCCCTTCCTCTGCCCCCTCTGCCTGCTCAGAATGAACCGCGTCCAAAAGCCAACCGAGGGTTTTTCGTGGGATAGATATGGTACTCGCCCAGTTGAAAATATGGGTTTCAATCCCCGAAACCCTGGTGTTTCCCCGTATACCCTACAACAAAGAAGGGGTTGGATCCACTCAAACAACTCAAGGTGCCCGGACTGGGAAATCACACAAAACTGTCCCAGCGCCAAGCGTGTAGTGAATGCCAGAAACCAGATTCTTCAACGGCACCGCCCCCCCAACAACAAGAAATAAGCTCGCGCGATATCCCCAACAGCACCACACCCTCCCAGAATCCTCGCGGAACACCCCGGGACCATCCTTACCGCCGGTGTTGCTGAGGATGCCGCCTTGTAAAGCAAAGCTACGAGTGACAGCGCAATCTCGCCCTGATCGGGGCCCGACGGCGCAATCGAGGCCCGATCGGGGCCCGACAGCGCAATCGGGGCCCGATCGGGGCCCGACGGTGCAATCGGGGCCCGATCGGGGCCCGACGGTGATCGGGGCCCGACGGTGCAATCGGGCACCGGTGCAACCCCAGCCACCCATATTATAGCTCAACGCCGGTTTTCCTTAGCATGCGGATTGCAACTGTATCTATAGCAAAACTAGGCGATGCCAGCTTATTGACGGGGCCCGACTGAGTCGGGCCCCGATCGGGGCCCGACGGCGCAATCGGGGCCCGATCGGGGCCCGACGGTGCAATCGGGGCCCGATCGGGGTCCGACGGTGCAATCGGGCCCGATCGGGGCCTGACGGTGCAACCCCAACCACCCATATTATAGCTCAACGCCGGTTTTAACCTGGTGGAACCCTCGTGGAACCTTACCTCAAACCACCTCGGACCACCCTGGCAGAATTCTGGTGGAAATCTGGTGGAACCCTCGTGGAACCTTCCTCAAACCAGACCACCCCAGCCCTCGAAGAAATTGCTGGAACCCTGGTGGAACCCTCGTGGAACCTTACCTCAAACCACCCCGGACCACCCTGCAGCCCTGGTGGAACCCTCATGGAACCTTACCTCAAACCACCCAGACCACCGAGCAGCCTGGAACCCTGGTGGAACCCTGGCGGAACCCTCGTGAAACCTACCCGCAGCCCTCGAAGAAATTGGTGGAACCCTGGTGGAACCCTCGTGGAACCTTACCTCAAACCACCCCAGACCACCCCGCCCTTGCAGAACCTGCTGGAACCCTGGTGGAACCCTGTTGGAACCCTGGAACCCTGGTGGAACCCTGGTGGAACCCCTGGTGGAACCCTGGTGGAACCTTAGCTCAGGGTCGCCCCGAACCACCCCGGAGCCTATCTGGGCTGAGACCCCAAGCTTTCAGCTGTTGGGGAATGATCGTATGTTCAAAGGCGAGGCACGAACCAATAGCCCCAAAGTCCATGTCAGGTTCCGCGACATCTGGACCCCCAAAAAAAAACTCCCACCTCATGGTTTCAGAAGTCTCGGTTCCAGGTCCCAGAGGCGAACGAGCCCAGGGCCCGCGCCCTCCGCGCCAGAGGGTGTTGGTGCGCTGGGAGCCAAAGGGAAACCAAAGGGAAAAGCCACCAGTCAATTGCACCTCGGCATTCGTCAGATTCGTCCGGAGAAAGACAACCAGTCTTCAGAAACAACTCGAAACACTCCGCCCGTCGCATTCCCCATGGCCCTGGAAACAGGCGAAATGGCGGCAAAGTCCCAGTGCGTAATTACAAACACTGTGGATTTGTGTGGATGGGCGCCGTGCTGAAGCCTGGACTTTCAGCACAAACGCGTGGCCCTTGAGAGTTGGCTCGCCCTCCACAGGACCGGGACAAAACAAAGTCATGACTGCCCAAAGACAAGACATGCAAAAAAGCACGCAGTCTCAGGTGGCTGGAGACGTGTTGTCCAACTCTGGATCAAGACAGACATCTTTTCATCAGGACACCTTTTGAAAATTGCGAATCCGGGGTCAACATCGGAGAAACCAATTCGCCAGTTCTCGACTTGCTGCGCATTTCCAAGTCTCATCACTTGCTTGGGCAGCCAAGTGGTGCCAATAAATGAGCGCCGCTACGTTCAGCGCGCATGTCCCTTACTGCACTCGCGAACAAACGACAGCTGCTATTTGTCAAGAGAAGCGGATTCTGCCCCTCGACTTGCTGTCTGACGCTATCGGGGCAATCAGCCAGCTCGGATTGGTGAAACCGCTCACTTTGGCCAGACCGGCGTTGAAGGTGTAGTTCCCAGGGGCCCAAAAACCAAGCTCGTCTTTTTCAACAGAGTTGTTTCTAGAGCATGCCGTCGTAGCCGCCCTCTTTGTCGATGCTCCTTTCATGCTCACCCGTGCTTGAAGCTTCTGGCCACTCTTCTGTCATGCCCTTCACCCGCACAGCCTTGCACTCTCAGTCACAGTTTGGGGCTTTGAACACACAATTTGTGAGTGACATCCATTGGGTGTTGCTCATTTCGCTGTCCTTACCATTCAAATCATGCACTGCTTCATGGCTCATGTCGCAACGCATCACTGGCTGAGCGCCAAACCTCATCACCAGCTTTGTAGGAGGCCATGACCTGCGTTCATAGCCCTCCACATCCATTCACTCCATTTGAGCTGATCTGCCTGAAATAGGTGCTTGACCAATTTGGCAATCCTGCCTCAAACACTGACATCTCCCACTGCACTGTGACCTGCGCACAGAATTGGATCATGTCGCGTCATGCATTTCGCCTCCCCAAAATTAAGCTTGTCGCCAAAAAAAGTCCAATTGCTAGAAAACTCAAAAGCGTCCTCGTTCCGGTGGCCACCGCTCCTTAAAGTCACTGGGCAGGCTGTGTCACTCACAAGCACCTACAAGACCAGCCAGGTTAGACTCATGAACCGAGGCGGCGATCCTGGAAACAACAGCCACATGCTCAGTATGCTAGGTCTAACAAGCGAGTTTCCTCTAGTTTCAGTAGCAATGGTGAAATAGAAAGTCTTTTGCGGTGTGTTCATAAAGCAACACACCTGGCAATGTCACAGTTCGGAGCCCTTGGATTCACTTTGGAAGCTTTTTGCTTTGTAACAGGAGAACGACAGCGTGGTTCAAAACTTGTGGGCCATCATGTCAAAGACTCGATGTAGCTGCCTAAGTCTCTTGGGTCATGTCCTGGCGCGCAAGTGGCAATAGGCTTGGTCAATGAAACATTGATGCTAGCACAATGCTTTCTGCCTCTTTCATCTCTTGTTTTTTTGCCAACCAAGCTACTTTGTGAGTGCTGTCTGATCCATGCACTCAGTCCACTGCCTGAGAAGAGACTGCGCCTGCTCGACCTCCAATCGCAGGCGGCACAACGAGCAAGACCAAAGCTCAATCACAAAAACACAAACCAAATGCAGCTGTGCCAGGCACCCAACCTGTTTTTCCACAAAGCGGCATGGTTTCATGGCCGCAGCCACTGCGCTGGCTGCAGCAATCTGTAAACTGCCGCAAGGGCTGTGGGACTGTGCGCCCGCAGCGGCTGTGTACAGTCACAATGACCACACTGGTGGCAGCCATCGAATCCCAAAACGAAAGTTGGGACGCTGAGCGCTGGAGTCTGTGCAGGTTGAAACGTTTAAACAGCAACATGTTGCCAATGCTCAGTTACCCCGCGCGTGCGGCCCTGTCTGAGCATGGCTCTGTGTGGTGTCATGGAGGGCATGGTTAACATCTGCGAGTTGCGGCCAATGGGCTAGTCCCGGAAACTACACTCGCGCACCGTTCGCGGCCTGGCGAGGCAAGTTTCCAAAGGAGCCCAAGGCCCGTCTCTGCACTCTAGTTAAAACGCAAGCGCAGGCCACCCCAAGGCTGCACAGGGAGTGTCCCACGGAACTGTTCACATTTAAAAAGCGCAGCCATTGCCCTGATGCCTCATGATGCCTCTCTGGCCTCTATGCACTACCAGCGGGCTCTGGCGCTTCACAAGTAAGAGCGCAGGTGGTTGAGAATGAGCCCCAACGCCCGTTCAACATCCCTCTTGACCGCCGGATCTTGAAGGTCCCCGCGTGTGACCCAGCCGTGAACCATGTCGGGAAACTCCACCGAAGCACCTTGCTGCAGAGCCTGTGCCACCAAACCTTGCGGTTTCAGCTCTGCAGGGTCGCTGCCAGCAGGAAGCAACAGCATGGGCATGCGGACTGCCCCGGCCAGGGCCACCTCGTCGGCTCCAAAGACCGTGCGCTCGATCTTGGTGCTTGGGTGCGCGGCGACACCACACTGCAATGCCAAACCGCAGGCCGATGCCTTGCAAATAGCCCAAGCGCCCCAGCAAAACCCCACGCTCCCAATGCGTTTGACACCTTTGCTTTGGAGCCATGTGATCACTGCCTGCAGGTCTTCACACACACGGCCTTCTGGGAACTTGGCCAGCCATGTCAACTTCTCGGCGTCGCTCTTGTGGTGGGCAGTCTCACCGTGGTGCAAGTCGGGCATCACCACCATATGGCCCTCTGCCGCCAGCGTGTCGCAAATGCCCTTTAATCGGCCCTCCCAGCCATAGATCTCTTGGATGACCACAACTGCAGTGGGCCCTGCTGCGCCCGCCTGATACACTCTCAGACGCCCAACCTGCACCTCGGTGCCAGAAGGGCTGAAGTCTGCTGGTGTCTTCAGCGCTGGCCAAGATGCCTGTGGGCAGCACCCGCAAGCGGTTTCCATGGACCGCTCCATTGCGCTCAAACCAGCCAGAACTCCGGAACGCACAGAGCTCAGAATGGCAATGGTCAAGCGATGAGACAATGGCATGAGCTGGCGGACTGCGACAACCAGGCGGCTCCAAGCCAAAAAGACGGCGTGTTTCCGTTGCTTGCGCGCACAGTTGGAGCCACCCCACCCAAGCTCATTTTCAACGTGGCTGCCAGAGAGCAAGGCTCCCGAAAGGCTCTGGACACAACTCAAACAAAACCCGACACGAAAGTCACCTGAAGTCTTTGTCCGTCTGTTTGACCACCACTCTGCGGTCGGGACGTTGCGGCCAGGCCCGCTGCCAGTCAGGACCGATACCGTTGCCTGCAGCAGCATCTAGAGACAGACACAAACCAAACGCAGCTGCGAGCGTGCCAGCCCCTAACCTTTTCCCACAAAGCGGCATTAATTCATGGCCGCCACTGCGCTGGCTGCAGTCTGCAAACTGCCGCCAGGGCTGTGGAACTGTGCGCCCGCGTCGGCCTGTTGTGTACAGTCACAATGACCGCACTGGTGGCAGCCATCGAATCCCAAAACGAAAGTTGGGACGCTGAGCGCTGGAGTCTGTGCAGGTTAAAACGTTTAAACAGCAAGCGCGCAACACTGATTGCAACTAACACGCCGCTGTTTCCTGTCCTCATGGCTGCGAACGCCTGAACATGCCTGAGCATACATGAGTGTGACCGAACATCAAACATGACTGAACATGTTGCCAATGCTCAGTTACCCCGCGTGTGCGGCCCTGTCTGGCACTGAGCATGGCTCTGTGTGGTGTATGGAGGGCATGGTTAACATCTGCGAGTTGCGGCCAATGGGCTAGTCCCGGAAACTACACTCGCGCACCGTTCGCGGCCTGGCGAGGCAAGATTCCAAAAGGGCCCAAGGCCAGTCTCTGCACTCTAGTTAAAACGCAAGCGCAGGCCACCCCAAGGACAGGGAGTGTCCCACGGAACTGTTCAGATTTAAAAGGGCCTGCATCACGCCACCTTGCGCAGCAACAAATGCCCACCGTTTCAAAATGTCAGCTTCATGCTGACAGGCACGCTGGCCGTGCGCCACTCAAGGTCCACCGTGACAATCAACATTGACCGAAAGCCTGGCCCTTTCGAGGGGTCAGCGATCGTCAGGTCGGTCACGTGGTGCCACAACTTTTGGTCGTTGAAGATCAAACCTTCTCCTGGCTCCAGCTTGCGAGTCATAAAAGGCTCTGCGCACTTGTCGACCGCCAAGCAGTTCTCGGCGCCGGCCGCGTTGCTTCGTTCCAAAACAATCAAAGCCACATACTGGAACCCGTCTTGATGAAAACCTGGCGAGATCTGCACAGCGCCACCCTTGCAGCAAGTGCGGATCAGATGCACGCCAAGCTCGGCCTTGTCTGCCTGACCTTGCTCCATGTCTTGAACACCCGTCAAGACCTGCGCCAACATGGCAAGGAATTCAGACGAAGACACAAAGCCCTCCGGCAGTGGCCCCAAGTCCACCCTCTTGCCAGCACGACCTGCTTTGGTGGACCTGGCAGGAGTCTCGTACGGCCGCTGAGGCCGCTTCCGCAGCTCGCCAGCCTCGAAAACAAAAGAGGCATACCCGCGGCTTTTGTAGGCGCAGCCTGGGTCGGGCTGAAGCTTGTGTTCCTCCATGATTGGTGGGAGGTCTACCTTGATCCTCTTTGCGTGCTCCATGCGCTACTCCCCGCGCTACGGGCTTCCTGCGCCGGCTGCAGTGGGTGAAAATGGCTGCCAAGAAAGCAAGGCTCGTGAAGGCCTCGCTCCGCGACACCCGCACACTACAACACAAACCAAACGCAGCTGCGAGCGTGCCAGCCCCTAACCTTTTCCCACAAAGCGGCATTAATTCATGGCCGCCACTGCGCTGGCTGCAGTCTGCAAACTGCCGCAAGGGCTGTGGAACTGTGCGCCCGCGTCGGCCTGTTGTGTACAGTCACAATGACCGCACTGGTGGCAGCCATCGAATCCCAAAACGAAAGTTGGGACGCTGAGCGCTGGAGACTGTGCAGGTTAAACGTTTAAACAGCAAGCGCGCAACACTGATTGCAACTAACACGCCGCTGTTTCCTGTCCTCATGGCTACGAACGCCTGAACATGCCTGAGCATACATGTGTGACCGAACATCAAACATGACTGAACATGTTGCCAATGCTCAGTTACCCCGCGTGTGCGGCCCTGTCTGGCACTGAGCATGGCTCTGTGTGGTGGCATGGAGGGCATGGTTAACATCTGCGAGTTGCGGCCAATGGGCTAGTCCCGGAAACTACACTCGCGCACCGTTCGCGGCCTGGCGAGGCAAGTTTCCAAAGGGGCCCAAGGCCTGTCTCTGCACTTTGGTTAAAACACAAGCGCAGGCCACTGCACAGGGAGTGTCCCACGGAACTGTTCAGATTTAAAAAGCGGCTATTGCCCTGCCCCAGTCCCTCACTGCGCTCCGCAGACAGGTTTGCAGCCCAAACCTGGGTAGTACTCGTACACGCGCAGCTCTCCGTGCTGCAGCTCCAAGCGAGAGTTGGTTGGATCACGATTTTGGCCATCCAACACACGCTTGAGTTCGTCAATGGACGTCCTAGACGCAACGACCAAGACTGTCTTGCCGCCATCCAGCAAAGGCTGCAGCCTGCTGCTGCAGAACACGCTCACACGAGCGTGAACTTCCTGTCTCGTCTCTCCTGCAGGGCGCCACTTGCTGGCTTCAACACAAAAGGACCAAGCTAGATGGTCCGCGCAAAAAAACAGCGCGCGCTGCGCGAAAACGGTTTTTCTGTCAAATGTTGAATGGACAACACACAGCTCTGATTAAGCGTGCTGGGAAGGAAGCTGTCAAGAGACGGCAAGGTGACGTCCCGTGGGACGCTGTCCACCGAACCCTCCAGCTGTAAATACCAACCACGTAGAAAGGTGTATACGGTCAAACCGCTGTAGCCGAACCCGTGTAACTGTTGTAAGGTAGAAGGAATAATAGTTACAACAGTGGTCCTGACAAATGCAGCGCAAGCGAAGTGTTTTCCGCTCTCAATTGCCGATCACGTATGAACGCAGCTTCACATAAGATCTTGAACCTCACTTGTGACTTGAGCCAAATGGCAATCAATGGAACCTTGTAAGCAACACAAACACGGACCTCAGAACTGCTTCCCAATTTAGGCACGGGGCCAGGAGGGTTTTAACATCCCCCATTTGGGTCGCATTGTTCATCATGCGGTCCAAACACCACAAAACGTTCCAATGGCCACGGCTTCAGCTACGAAACTGTGTCGAGCACTCTTTCACTCGCTATCGCTACACCGTTCATTCATTGTGAAACCTGCCGGGTTCGATTGAAACTGGAACGTGCATCCGCAAATCGTAGCACATTCCCATATGCAGATGCAAGGTATGCACCACCTCACGTCATCACGCAACAATTGAACATCCCAGCTGCCGCATTTGCGCATCGCGCAGCCGTCATCCACAGAAATGGGTTGGCCATAGAAGTTCACAGCAGCGCATGATCGTAAGAAATCTGCATATCACCGGCAAAGAAATATCGGTGAGCAATCAATGCAAAACATAGCCATTCCAGGTACCATGAATAATATATATAATGAAAAGAAATCATCCATGAGGTAATAGTTTCATCCATGAATATCCGGAATGTCATAGCCGTCGGAATATGTAAATGTATACACATCCATTCATCTTGGACGCATGAAATCATATCATGATGTAGAGTCGTTCCATCGCAATGACATTGATGAGACGCAAGCAATAGATGGGGACTAGCCCACATCATGCCGCAATGAACATCGGAGTGAATATATATATCGCTGTTGGTGGGCGCACCGCACCGTATAAGCAATAATAATCCACATCTGCATTACGCATACCTGTCTCCAATGGACAGTCTGTGGGTACGTCGACGGAACTCTTCGTCCAAATTCTTTTGGGCTTCTCGCGCCCGGACACACTTCTTATGATGATCTTCTGGTATCCAATGCCCCATTCGGAGGCACCAATCCAGCAGAGGTGTGTCGCATTTATTCGGGTCAGTGGCTGCAATAATGGCGCTCACATTGACCGAATAACCATATCTGCCAAGGTTCAAGCCTTCCCTTACGAACGATATATATTTACAGTTGAAAGCCAGGGAGAAGCATCTGTAAATGATATCACCCGCCGGGTGCACGCGATCCTTGACCAGGAGCTTCATTTCGTCTTTGGTGATGTCGAGGATTCTCGCTGCAATCCACAGCTTGTAAAATATGTGTAGCCCCTCGCACTTGCATACCATCAGACGAATGTATTCATTGCGCTCCTCAGCCGACCGGAAGGTCCTTTCTCGAACGTTCTGAGATTGAGAAATCTTCAGTACCGTCGATGGCAAAAGGATCCCTTCCTGATCAATCTCCGTAATGTTGGGGTACTTCTTGAAGTCGTTGTGGTATGGGCAGCCTTGCTTCCCTTCGAGCGCGGCATCGATCGTTCTCTTTTCACCACCTTCGAACATCCCCCACATCTTTGACATCTGCAGCGCGATGAATCCCGCCATGTATTGAGCTTCGCGCGGCTCATCAAGGCAAATCGCCATCCGCTGGGAATTAATGATATCCCGCGATGCCAAGTCATTGTCGCGGTATTGCCAACCGCCATCTTCTTCCTCAGACATGTAGCCGGACGTGTATCCTTGCGTGTCCATGTCGTCGTCTTCAGGAACGTTCTCCGCCTCATCATCCTCTTCCTGTGCTGCCGCACCATGGTTGGCTTCGTCTTGTGCGCGCCTGGCATCACCCGAAACATTGGGCCTTTGGTTGTCCCCATCGTCGTCGGAACTGATGTGGATGCAAAATCTCCCGGTAGAGATCAATTGCGCCCCACACTCCAGGCACACACAGAAGCATGTGGGAATCGCGGTCGCACATGACGGACATATCCGGCATCTTAGTCCTTCCCATGTCTCGTCATTCAGGATGACGACTTTGCTGATCTCGTCCCTGATCTCGTTGGTCTGCGCATCAAACTCCTCCAGCTTGTTTTCCCGAAACAGTTTGCATGCACGATCAACCATGTCTTTGATGTAGTGCAGATTGTCGGCACCTGCCTCGGTCTCAGGCATCCTCTCGTTGATCTTCGCGACGTTCTGTAGGAACATCGCAGCCGATTCCTGGGATGAATCAACGAAACCCGGACAGATCTCGTTTTCCACACATTTCGAGTACGCTCGCTTGACGTCCTCGTACTCCAGGCGCTTCTCTCCGTTGCTTTTGCCAATCCAAATGGACTTGACCTCATAGAACGGGATCACGTCAAAGACCATGAATGTCCCATTTGCCGCGACTCCAGCTCCATACCGCGCGAGGGTTGCACTGGGAATGTAGATGATCGCAATCGGATCCCCCGACCTTACGTTTCGTAGCGTCACCTTCGTTGCTACGTTCATCTCATCCCATGGAGCAAATGCTCCGAAGTGCAATGCTAGCCTGTTTCCGCCATCGATCCCGCCGGGGACTAGCCCACAGCGTACGATGCTCGGCAGGTTCTCCACATACGTTACATGGAATGCTCCTCCGAGAGAATCACCCATTCTTGCAGAATACCTATTTGCCAGTGCGGATGAGCTCATGAATCCAAAATCACTGTGACCAGTTGTGACTCGGATGCACCAAGGCCTGTACCATCCATCGCATCTGTTGAACATCCTGTCGATGTCATCCCGATCCAGGCCAGCATAGTTCATCTCCTCCCTGGCCGCCTTCATGTCATTCGGGTTCATGACGCTTGGAAACCTTGCTGCCAGGACCTGAAATCTCGATTTCTTGTGTCCGGACTCCTGCCACTTGATCACTTCCATGATGCCCATGTATCGTTTTGCTCTCGAAGTTGAAGGTGGGAATATGTCGTTATTTCGGTCGTCAATGACTGCGTCGATGTCGACCCATCCACCTTCATCGCATCTGAAAACACTCCCTAGGTCGTGAGATAGCTGGTTTGCTTGATCTTTCGTAGCAAATACCGAGCGATCGTCGCCAATCTTGCATAGTGGAGCACCGTCAAAGGGAGCAACGCAGAAATTGACACTCTTGCCAAGCTGCATCACATCCACCTGTTCAAGGCCGGCACCCTTGGGAAAGTACTTGGGGTCAACAATAGATGCGTACGCCCATGGCATATGCACATCGCTCACGTCGCCGAACTTCGGGATGTAACATGGGATGGTGTCACACCCTCGCTCTAGCGTCGTCTTGAACGTTCTGTTGTCCCCGCACGGATTGTAGGTGAGGTCCACGCCACCGCACTGTAGCTCTCCTCCCTCAGCCGTGTCAGCCATCTCCACCAGATTGATGGTATAGCTATACATTTCTATTGTCTCTTTCCCTTCTTGCCCTCCTTTCTTGCGTTCCTTGGACGTCGATGAGGACGGTTCTTCCGTATCCCCCATTTCTTCATCCGAGGAAACATGATCGCTGCTGAGAAGCTCACGGATCTTCTTCATCGCCTTCTCGTTCCCAGCAGCCTCCTCATAGTTCTTGCAGTCGCCGTCGTGGGCCAGGTTCGCGCATCTCATGCAAATTCCCATCTCTCCCATGCACTTTTCCATTGAGACTAGGAACTCGAGTGCAGCTCTCCGCCCATCAATCACTCGCTGCTTCTTCTCTTCTTTCTCAACGTTGGGCTGAGAGCTTCGGCTCGGGTCTGGCACTTGACCAAGACCGTCGCCTTCACTCTCTGTTGCCTTCCTCTTGGATCCTTGGGTGGCATGCTCGGCCGTCAGGGATCGCGGATGTCTGGGCTTGACCGTGTTCATGATGTCCAACACTTCTTTCGTGGGCGCCCCGAGCTGGGCGGACGGTTTGTTCCGCTTTCGGTTCTGGCCCGTCGTGTGGCTCACGTTCCCGGCGAGGTGTCGTACGATTGAATGCTCGAACTCCCTCTTGATCTTCCATGCATCTTTCCATAATGGAAGTTCGTGCTGAAAGTACGACATCACCTCAAAGAAACCCAATATCATCTCGACGACGTCCCCCAAGGACTCCTCATTCGTAGTTTGTCCCAGGAGCTCATACATCGTCCCCTGATCAAGCACGCTCTTGATCCAGGATGAATAGGCCACGTTGCCAAGATCTCTGTCTATCACAAAGATGGAGGTCCTCTCCTCAACTCCCTCGGAATTCTTGCACGTGATCACATCCCGGGATGCACACAATTGCTTCCCGTGTCCGTTATTGTAGAACTGTGCTGCCTGATCCATTGTCATGCTCACGAAACCCACGTGGGATAGCTCTTTCTTCAGCTTGGAATATGCAAGCTCCCGTATAATCGTGGTCATGGCCTGAACATTGTTGACGTTCACCATGAGATGTTGAAGATCCGGGATTGCAACCACGCATTCTGCGAAAAGTCGCGTATACAGCTTCCTCCCTTCGGTTGATCTCACAACACCGTTCGTGTCCGCATTCCAGTTCGCGCAACAGTTCACGCAAGAAGTGGGATTGTATTTTGAGTTTGACCCGAGCACCTTCGACTTGTTCATCTGCATTTCTTTCACACAAAGTTCGCAGATTAACTCACTGAGCTCGGTGACCGCATACCATCGAAGACGTTGATCGCTGACATCGATGTTCCCAAACGCATCTTGTCCGCCGTGTCCTTCATCCTGCCGTTCTTGCCTCCGTTTCGATTGAGCAGTGAAGGT